AAAAAGAACTTCTTTTTTCTCTATTCTTTTTTCTCAGACTTTTAACTTTAAGCTGAATCTCCTTGAGTTTTGGTAACATAAGACAGAACTATCGGCATTCTATCGATAAATTCTTCAATCTTTAATTAAAGACTTTAATCTGTTTAATCTGTTTAATCTGGCACTTAATTTCTGCGAGAATATGTATTGCTTCAATTTTTTCTTATTATCGTGATACTTAAGTGTTTATCAATGCCTAACTCAAAATTTGAAATTAATATATATTTTAACCAATATAAATGATAATTGTCTTTTTGAGAAATTTGTTTATAATATTAATTTTATAATTATTTTTTGACAATTCACGATTCCATATTGAATACTACCGTGATAAAAAATAAGAGAGTATGTATCATATTATAATTTTATATTTTATAAATGAAAAATGGAATCATTAGCAAAAATATGATAAGACATGCTTTTCAACGGTAGTCTGTACGAGGTTTGTCCCAAGTATTTGACCTCTACGTATATCTTTGTCCTTGAGCGTCCTCCCTCTCTCTCTTTCTTTCTCCCTCTCTTCTTCATGAAAAACAGGCATTCAATACAATATTTAGAGAGAACCTTGAGGAGTACTGTCACCAAGCGGCACGATTCAATAGCTGTTCAATCGACAATGGTAGTTGTGTGATCATCGAAAACTCCAAACGTTGTATTTTAACCCTTGTGTACGCATCCAACTTTACCAACGTTGTTACGCACTCGGGTACTCCGGTGCCCATCTCTCATTTTTTCAATTTTTTAAATATTTATGCAATTGAAATGGTTTCCTTAACGTTTATTTCAATAAATAAACATAAAAAATGATTGCCCGAGACATTTGCAGATAAATTGATCTTTTTTTGAAAGGGCCGCATAGTAGTAAATGATACCATTGATGTATTTAACAACAAAAATTTTCTTAATTTTTAATTTAATTTAAAGTATGGTTGAAAACAGCTTTTTTGTCAATTTTAGGATATCTCGAGATCTTGACGTGATAAAGGAATTTTGCAGTCAGATTTGGATTCAGCGCAAAAAATTACGTAAGAAAACATTGTTAAATCCCAATCAACAAAACCATGCAGGTCTGTGTAATATCAAGATATCTTGTTTATGCCATAAAGCTATTTTTTTATTATAAAATCTACGTAATGATCAAAAAATTACATAACAATGTCAAGTCATGTTTGTTAGTTGTGAAATACAACGCTCAAAGTTTTCGCGATGCTCACACAACTGTGTACAGTTGCCGACTGAGCAGTTGTTGAGTGTCGTGCAGCTTGGAAGTACTCCTCAAGGTCCTTCCTTAACACTGAATTTACTATTTTCCACAATATAGAAGGCTCAAGCATAAAGATATACGCAGAAGCCAAATACTTTTGGGACAGACCTTGTATAATCATAAATTGCTTTTTTCGCTTTAATGAACATTGCGATAACATAAAGATTTTGAATAAACTAGACATGATTTTATAAATTGCGAATTGTATTCTACATAATATGTAATAATAATATTTTTTGTCATATGTTGCTCTATTTTGAAAAATGTAGAGTACAGAATTAACAGATAAGGCGTTTCACGAAAATTGGTATTTACTTGAATCATCGACAAAACAAATATTTATATTGATAATTATGGCTAATAATTTGGAATGCAAAATCGCAACGATTAAAAGTTTCAATTTCTCCTTACCTTCATTTATGACGGTAAAATTTTATATATTTCTTATTTTTTTTTGCAGTAGTGATTCTGTCACATTTCGAATTTAACATTCTTCAAATTTTCTTTCAGATTTTAAATCAATCGTACTCGATCGCTATTTTGTTTTTGAAAATAAAATGAGAAGTGGCGAGAAAAATATGTTTATCGACGATAATTATAATCATTACTTTCATTAACAACGAAACAAAATTAATAACAGGAAATATTAATATCTATAAAAATGTGTACTACTTATAATGCAAAAGTTATGAAATAAAATGAATTTATTATTAAATGAATTATTGTATATTCATATAATTATTAATACGACACGTTTATTTTCTCAAATAGAAAAAATATATTGATTATTGATTACGTACCTGAAATTCATATTATGAATATTTTCTGGTGGTATTTTGTATTTCATGTCGCGCGCGCGCACGCCTTGTTTGTAATACGTCAAAGAATCTTTATTACTGACGTGCCAAGAAAGCAGCGGAAGTAACAATACATTTTATCGAAGAGAAAAAGAACTTACTTTAAGCATAATCTTGCGATAACTATTTAGTGGTTCATGTGTTTACAACGCTATATATACAGTGATGGGAGAAAGTTCCGTAACGGTCAAATATCTTGGAAAATAATGATTATGGAAGAAAATGTTCAATACAAAAATTTTAGTATATCAAGCGGTCTATTATACGGTTATATTGAAATGACTTTCATGTGACCTTGAAGGACACTGTGAAGGTCAACTTTGAGAGAGAGAGAAATCTTAAATAGAAACTCCTATTTTCTATTACATATTCTTAAAGCTGGTGTTAAGACGTTTCTGAAATATTGGTTACAAACCCTTTTTGTTTGAAATCTTCCTGAATTACGAACCTTCAAAGTTTAAATATTGCCGGCGCGTTATTTAAGGTGTACCGCGATTAATTTAAAAGCTATGAATTTATTAGTTAAAATGTTCTATAAGGAAATTGTTTTAAAAATATAGATTTTATTAATTTCAAAGTGCTTACAAACCATTTCATGTTTAAAATATGTATTAGTTTATAACTACTTACAAATAAAAATAAAAAAAACTTTATTTATATATAAAATATAAATAAATTAAATTCGAGGTCAAATTGACCCCAGGTGAGTATTTATGTAACAAAAAATCAGAGTGCTTAAGGGTTGAAACTGCTGTATAATCGACATAAAGATGTATGGTTAATAAAAATATAGAAACGAGTTAAATTGTGAAATCCTTATTTATATTAAAGTTATGTACGACGCTTTAATGTGCATTGAATGCGCACAAGTTCTGCCAATGAAAAACGCTGTAATGTTCTATTAGTGTTAAGAAAAAAAAGTAATCAGAAAGTAATGACTCGTTACATTTTGAGTGAAGGTAACGGTAACGAGTTACTTTTGCAATGACGAGTAACAATAACGAGTTATTTTTTAAGAAAAAGAACGGTAATGATAACGAGTTATTTTTACGAGGTAACGTTGCCAACCCTGACTATAATTTAAACAAAAAAAACGAAATTCATGTCATCTACAGTTTCCCACAATCACGCAAGGCAATACCGAATCAAGTTTTATTTTCTTTTTAAATTATGTTTATATTGAGAGAGTATGTAAGTGTTAATTATTATTGTTAAAGCCGATATTTTTTGAACGATGTCTTCTACACTTGATAAATAATCATCTGTATTTAATTTTTTCTTTAGTATTCTCAATTCTCTTACTCTACCCTATATAAAAACAATGAAAACAAGTAAGAGATATTTACCTCAGATAACGTGTACATTCTATGGTCACGCTATTTCTATGATATTATACCTAAGCACTGAGTGTATAGGACTACTACTGGATGCGACAAATAAGAACTTTTATCACTGTACTCTAATATACTGCAATAGCATTATTCGTGTTTATTCCATGTTTGCAATTATCACATTCTACCCTATTCTATTCCGATCAACGATAATATCAACAGTGTTAATTTCTGCAGAAGAGCCTCTCGATGCCAGATATATGATGCCTATAATGACGGAATATAAGATAATTGTCGCGACGTAAAGATAATTATAAGGAATGTAATAATTATTCTCTCTTGATAAACAGTATCAAAACATAGAATCCTACATTCATTGAACTATGGTACAATATATATTGATGATCTTTATAAGGTTCTGCATGTTTCTATTATACTAAAATGTGCAGAACCTCACAAAATCATTACCTTTGTCAAAGATATGGTTCGACAATATTTAATATTTAATATATCTACACAACGATTACAGGGCAAACATAATAGAGAAATAGAATGAATGAAGAAAACAGAATGAAAGGAGAGAAAAGTCATCCTTTACCGATTACTTATAAGGTATTATTAAAAAGGAGGCACAGCAGTGTCGCTGCACTTGGCTTAGCACCGAGACACTACCGTGTGTCTCCAGATAAACAGAAAAAAATAAAGGGAATAATTCCTTACTATAGAGTTAAATATAATTTCGGAATAAAAGAAAACTCGCTTATTTTTATTTATAAAGGATAACTCATAGTATGTGATAATGAAATCATAGCAGCACGTGTAACAGATATTATTGGAAATACAAACAATTGAAGTTTCAAATTTTAAACGCTGCATTTCATCAAGATATTTCCGACTTACAAATATATATACGACACAAAAAGAATGAATTTCAAAAATGTGAATCTTTTAAACAGTCGAGTGAATATGCTCTCGGGGAATTTATTACCTATAGCATATGATAATTCGCAGTTTTCAATAATCTGGCGTACTTATAGTGCCACCGTATGGCTAATACAATTGACTCACACAATCGCGTTGATTTTCGGAATCATTATGGCATCAAAGGAGAATGGTCTGAAGGGCAGTACTCACACCATCCTGCTCACAGTGGAGGCATCTTTCATGCTTACACGTCTTTATTCACGCAAAAAGTTGATGGAGGAAATGATTCAGAAGATGAACGATATCTTACAAAACACAGATGAAATTATGAAGGATATCGTAAAATCAGCGATAAATCCCATAATAGCACCGTTCATAATATATGGAGTAATTAGCGTGATATCTATTATAATATATCACGCCAAGCAGCCGATTGTATTGGTCTTCGAGAAGTTCATCTTTTTCTATGTAAATTGCAATTTGCCAGCTACTTTTAGCACCGAATCATTCTCCAGTAGTGCTATGATTTCTTCAACTATTTTAAAGATAGTCGGTACCATTTATTTATTTCTTAAGAAATTCGGCATGGACATGTATATGATGCATTTGGTATTAATGTTAACGGCACAATATAGATACACGGCAATAAAACTCGCAATATTGTTTCGGGATCTACAAATCTACAACGAATCTCGAATAGAACATTATTCTAAAAATCGATGGACAGAGAGAGAACTACGAAAATTATGTCTACATCAGAATATTGTTTTAAAGTACGTAACATATGATCATTATAATAAATATTAAATTTTAGAAAAATGCATTTGATCATTATTGAAATTATTCTTTCTCTTTTGGCTTTTAATAAATCATTGATGGAAGAAAAAAGAATAATATTTTTACTATTTTATATATGTACAAATTTAAATAGCATATATATATTGTAAATCTTATTTTTTCCGGTAAATATTCACTTTACAGGAAGCCTCTCAAATGATCTTGATCTTGACATATGTTGTTATCAAGGTTATGACCTTGAGTAACCTCCAACAGGTTTTAGCCATTACTCGTTATCCGTTAAAAAGTTATTAAAAAAAATTTTGAAAAATTAATATGGAAAGGAATACGAGTGAGTTTCTGACGAAACGCGAGGATAGTTCTCACCTTCATCTAACTAATTTCTGATTGTGCTAGATGGGTTTCTACTTCTATTCTCATGTGTTTCTGCTTTTTGACAGGTCTCTTTATATTTTGGAAATGAGTGGGGGAGTGTTCTTTCAGGACCAATCAACATTCATCAAGGTTTGGTAGAACCTATACTTGCGCTTGTTTCCTTAAGATAAGGCAGCAAGACTCCGCATAAACCCTACTCTACGAGTTTAGTCTTAATAGATAATGGTTGAGAGTTTAATAATTTATAATAAAAATTCGGTCTTTCTTAACTAACATCCTTATGCGAGGCAAATCCACTACATTCCGAATCATATATCCAAAATTGATTTAATTTTATTGGAAGCAAAAAGAAAGAAAAAAAAAGAAGGAAAAGATATTCGTCCTCGCATTCAGGAAGATTTCTATTTTTCTGTTAAATGCTAATGTAATATACTATTACCAATATAATATTAATACACGCTATTATTTATTATTTTATAGAAGGGCTTCTTTGAAAAAGATCGGGGGATATTCTTAGACATTCTTTAGGATAGACAATATGTGTGACGCATAAAGGTATATAAACGTGATCTATCTATTGGTTTGGACTAAACATGCCCTTCAAAATTAAAAGATATGATAAAGAAATAAAAATAAGGTTTCAAAATAAAGATAAAATACCAAAGTGAAAATGAAATATTAACTAGGAGTAGCCTAAGATAACATATATTTATAATAGGAGAGAGAGATCTATCAGGATGTAACATAGTCAAGGTCAAGGCCTCCTAAAGTGAACAATTACCTTATTTCTTATACGTTTTTAACAATAATTTTTAATAGAGAATATTAGCTTTTTTATTTAGATAATACGCGATTTACTATTTATGATATTTTGTACATTCTGTGTTGCGTTATAGCATGTCATTTATATTAAAGAAGCTTCTGTCCGTGAACTTCAGTCTACTGTATATCAATAACGTATTACGGTTCTGCTTTATAGGTATCATATTAAGCACAGTGAGTAATAATGACGTTATTAATCTGAAAGAAAAAATAATTTTAAAAACTTATTGGTGTTAATTCATCATTTATTGTTTTATGTGATATCAGATAACTCATTTTAAGGAATTAATGAATTTTTAATGAATATGCAAAATGAAAATTTTTTTAAAACCATTTTTGTACATATTACATAAATTAGAAATAGGTTTTTAATTAATTTAATACACTTAAGTTGAAACTTGTCAAATGAGAAAAGCAGAAATAAATTTTTTTTTCTAAAGATATTCTATATTTGGAATTTTCTAAGAAGCACTTTATGTATTTTCAGGTACCATTAATGAATATTGCAGAAGGAATTTCGGTTACAATATTTGGAATCGGTACACTAACGCAATTTTTTGTGTTATGTTCTTCCGTACAAACACTTTCAGATGCAGTAAGATTTATTACTTCACGTTATATAAATTATTTATTGTCATTTAAATAATTAATAATATTAGAGAAATGTTACATTATCAAATTTTGTATGTATTATTTCAAACGTCACATAATTTGCCTTTGTACGTTTTATTATTACAGAAATTTATGAAATTATATAACCTAATATAAACAGAAAATACAACTTGTACAATTTTATTTATTTAGAATATTGTAACTATAATTATAAAAGTAGTAATAATAATTATATGTATATGAATTACAATGTTGGTAGAATTAAGTAGAAAAGATAATCTGTAATTACAATTTATCATTTTTTATACCTTTATACTAATTATAGAGTACCAAAATAACAGATAAAGCATTTGATGAAGGCTGGTATCAATTAGGACCATCAATGAAACGTATATTTATATTATTGATAATGTCTAATAACTTAGAATGTAAAATTGCTGCTATTGGAAAATTCAATCTGTCTCTACCTTCATTTATGACGGTAAGATTTATTGTATACACTGAGAAAAAAGTTATTAAATCTTACTAAATATTTGTTTGAATAGTCCTAGCGAAATATTTACTTACAGTAAATAAATATTTAGATAAAAAAAATGATAGTTGAATCGAATTCATGGTTCTTGTATCTAATAAATATATGTTTACATTTCGTAAATATTTTGCTAGGATTATTCAGAGAAAAATTTATTAAAATTTAGTAAATTTTTTTTCGGTGTACCTATATTTCTTATATGTATTGAAATAATTAGTATTTTAACCTTCTTATGTCGTATTTTTTAATGGTGTTTTAGATTATAAATCAATCATATTCAATCGCCCTTTTGTTTTTAAAAGCGAGATGAAAAATGTATCACGCACATTTAAATTTAGTAGGTATAGGATAGAGGATTATTATTTTAAGACAGGAAAAATAAAAATACTTTAAGAAAAAAAATAATTTGTGTTTTACATAATATTATGAATTATTAATAATCCGATAATTATGGTTAGAACATAATGGGCTACATATGTGGAAAATGTTATGATATTACTTACTGTTAGAAATTTAATTTTTATTTTCGATTTTCTTATATTTTTTAAACTAATAATAAAAAAATAATTTGTTGTATTTATAATAATTGTAACACTGACTTTAGTAATGAAAATATCAGCACTCATATTTATAAATATATGATTGTACTTAAAACACGTATTGCTCCCTTACTTCAAGGTTCAAAAATGACACAACTTGAAAAATGTAATTTTCAAGTTATTATTATGAATGAATTGTGCAAGTACTACTTTGTTAATCATGAAAAATCAACAAATTTAAATCCAAAAACTGAATAGCGTTCTGTACTCCGGAGATGAGACTATGAAGAACATTGTACATTCAACTCTGAAACCATTAGAGATTCCACTTAAGTTTTATTGCATAGTTGGAACTGGATCTGTAATAATATGGTGTAGTACGCCGCTCATATTAATTTTCAAGAAGAAATCATTCTTTTACGAAGATTTTGGAATGATGGCAGCCTTCTCGAAACAATCATTTTCAACAAAAGTTTTTGTGCTGGACAGTCTTATCGAAACCATTGCTAGTGCTTATATATTTCTAAAGAAGGTTGCTTTGAATATCTATATGATAAATCTAGTATTACTGTTAACAGCACAGTATTGTTACATCGCAGTAAAGTTCGCAACAATATTTCACTATGATACTTTACAAAATGAAGACCATGAATTCCAAAAGGAAAATTATTCTGTAGATTTATTGATGGAGAAAAAAATAAGAAAGTTATTTCTACATCATAACACTATAATTCTGTAAGTAATCCGTAAATAAGCTAACCTGTAAATTTGCTAACTTCACAATTTTTAACTTTATCTATCTGTTAATTTTTCTGAATTATTCCCGGGAAAAAGTGTTTCAGATATAATTATGTATAAAATTATATAAAGTTATATATATATATAATTATATAAGAAATTGATATTTTATATACAATTATATATAAAATATGTTCATATATACGATATGCATTTTTTCCCGGGTTCCTACACAATTCTTGAATTAAATACGAATAAAATGCTTACATGAGCCGTCACAGTTCTTGAAGCGTTATAAATAACATATTTATGAAGCGATATAATTCGTAAATAATTGGAAAATACTTACTAAAAAAAGATTAATTTCAAAGAATTATTAAAATAAAAATAAAATCAGATATAAGTAAAATGCCTATATAAGCCTCCATGGTTGTTGGTACGTAAATAACGGTATATTTATAAGACGGTAAGATATAATTCGCAAACAGTTAACTGTAAACGTTTCGATTCTAAAGTTGAAAAATTTTTTGAAAGTATCGAAACCTTTTATGTACTAACACACATTTAAAAATGCAAAGAATTAAAAGTAATCAATTTAAAAACAGATAAATAATGAAAGTTTCTTTAACTAATTTTTCTAAAATATATCTGTAATAGAAATACTTACTTAAATTTATAATAATGTCGTTTTATTAATAAACGAAAATGTTTCATTTCGAAATAATTTATAAAATGGTATTGGCATGTTCACCGTAACATATAAATCAATCCTGAATTGCCATCTGAAGGAGAATATATTAGACTAGACTAGAGTATCATATACTGGTTTTTCCACTTCTTACTTTGCGATGAAGTATTGGAATACCATAAGATAATCGCTGCTTCGTAGTCCTGGGATAATTATAAAGTAACTTGGAGTCACCTCCAACTTGTACAAATGAAATGATCATATCGTGATATATCACAAATTTGTTGAGACGATTACAAGCTTCTCTACTTCTTTACAACGACCTTCTTTACAAAAGCTCTCTATTGATAATAGTTAATTTACCATTTCTGATCTGTCATCATAGATAAATATTTATAATCGTGGTAAAAGAGAAATGATATGTCCCACCAATGACAATACATATTATAATACAAACTACAAAGAAATAGATATTCAAGGGGAATAGGATATTCAAAGATGACGAACAGTTGCTATCAACTTTCAATAGTGATTGTTCCGTATATACTTCTAAAGAGAAAAATAGAATGTGCGCAATAATGAAAATGTCAAAAGGAGGTAAATACCTGTCGATATATATATATATCTAAATTTAGTATACATATTTAAAAATGATTGCTTATATTAAAGACAGAAAGGATCTATCATACAGTTATAACTAATTAAATTATCTCTTAATTAGCATAGGAGTTAAATTAACTTTGGAATAAGACATTATTCAATATACTTTATGATCGGAGAAAAAGAAGAGAATTCCAAAACAAGCTACATTTTATACAATATTCCATTAATCAGAAAAGAGCATTCACCAAAACATGGACTTTCGAAACATAAATCCATTAAATGTTAAATTAAACAGGTTCTCAGGTAACTTGTTACCAATGACTAGCAACGATTCTCTATTTCCTGTAGCGTGGAGGATATACAGTGCCGTCATATGGTTGATCGAAACGATTCAAACTAGCGCAGTAATTACCGGAATCTTGATCGTGCCAAGAAATAAGGCTTTGCAAGATGCAACGGTTGGCTTAGTTGTCACCATAGAAGTGTTTTTCTTATTAAGGCAAATGCATTTGCACAGAGACCTTGTAACTCAATTGATTCAAAAGCTAAATGAAATTCTGTGCTCTGAGGATAAGACGATGAAAATCATCGTGAGATCGACCTTGAAGCCAGTAGAGATTCCGCTCAAATTTTACTGCACTGTTGGGACTATATCCTTATTAGTGTGGTGCTGCATGTCTTTCACGGTGATCTTCAAGAAAAACTATTTTCTCTATGAAGATTACAGACTCCCAATAGTTCTTTCAAAGCAACCATTCTCGATTGAAATTTTTCTGTTAGGAAATTGCATTGCAACTATTGCCAGCGTGTATATGTTTATAAAGAAGGTTGCCTTGGATGTCTATATGATAAATCTCGTTTTGCTAGCAACAGCACAATATCGTTATATTGCTGTAAAGCTCACAACAATATTTCGAGAGAATGTTCCACAGAATCAGAGTAATGAATCCGAAAAGGAATATTCTACTGTAGATTCATTAGCGGTCCTGATGAAGATGAAAGCGTTATGTCGACATCACTGCAATGTAGTTCAGTAAGTATAATTGATGAACGTTTGACTGTTTTTCAATTAGTTTATTATTTTATTATATACAATCTTTTCGAATTATTGTTACTCGTCTTTTAAAAATATTCTTTAATTTATATTACTCCCAACTGAGCTTATTTCTTTATGTGTGTTTCTTTTTCAGGATAACGCTAATGTTAAAGGAATTACTTTCTTTGAATATGAGTCTAATGTATTTGACAAATGTTTTTCTTTTTTGTTTTCTCGATGTTATGCTGATAAGTGCAGTGAGTAACATTTAATAATAATAATAATATTAAAAATGTTTTTTAGATAATTGAAGACGATGTTAATGATAACGTTAATGATGATGTCAAACCTAGGTGTTATCGAAGGCTCCTGTCGAAGGAATTATGATTATTATGTATATATCCGGTGGCCTAGTACAACTTTATATTTTATGCTCATGCGTTAATCAATTATTAGATGCGGTAAGCTTTATTTTAATATTTATTGATATATTTGTTATCATCCTTTCTATCTTGCAGTATGCTTTATTTCGTAATAATTTTAAAAAAGTTTTAAATTATAATATAACTTTTGATCGCAATTAGTATCTAATGTTAAATTTATTAGTATTTAAGAAAAGTAGTTACATATTTTTCAAATTTAATTCTCTATTTCTTATTTAGAAGGATTTTGAAAACGGATTATCATTAAATAAATACATAAATTACATAAATATATATAGAGTGTTCGGAAATTAGCGCATCAGAATATCATAGCAAGATAGAGTGGACTAAACTGAGTCGAAAAATCCTCTACCATTTTGCAATTTTCGCAATAGTTAACAAGATATTAATTACTAAAAATCGCTGAATATTGGTATTCAATAATTTTTTATTCAAATATACTATCAATTTTACAGAAAAACTACAAGAGACAAAAATTGTTTATTTTCTTCTCACAGAACTCTAAAAATTTTTTATCATCTTTTTAGTATTGCATTTTCTTATTTTTACCGAGAGAAATTTATATGAGAAAATACGGTATTAAAAAATTCTAAAAAAATTTTCAGAACTTTATGAGAAAAAAATAAATAATTTTTGTTTCTCTCGCTGTTTTTCTGTAAAGTTGATATTATTTGAGTAAAAAATTATTGAAAACCAATATTCAGCGATTTTTAGTAATTAATATCTCGTTAACTATTGCGAAAATTGCAAAATGGTAAAGGACATTTCTACTCACAATCAGTTTAATCCGCTCTATCTTGCTATGATATTCTGATGCGCTAATTTCCGGACACCCTGTATATAGTATTTATGAAGTAAATAGTAGAACAAAGTTACAAGTTGTCTGTTTATAATCAATAACTGTGTCCTCTTAAGCTTATTAGGCAATCAATAATCTGTGTTAGAATTTAGAATATAACTTTATTTGTAATTTTGTATGTTACATAAAAGTAAAAATTTTGAATATATTATGTACATAAATTACATAAATTGTTAAAATGTTAATTATATATTGCATGAAGATTCTATGTCATTTTTAATTTAGAGTGTAGAAATAACAGATAAAGCATTTCATGAGAAATGGTATCAGTTTGGACCATCATTAAAACACATGTTTAGAATGATGATAATAACTAATAATTTAGAGTGCAAACTGTCAATCTCTGAAAGATTTAATCTATCTTTGCCTTCATTTATGACGGTAAGATTTAATATACTACTTATATTGAGCACATATGATTATGCCATTTTCTAAAATAATTTCCTTAATCTTGTAGAAATTATTTACATTGTACTATATAATTTTAATATTAATGCTATCGATGCTTACCTTTTCTCAAATATTTTTTTCCCTTATAGATCTTGAATCAGTCATACTCGTTCGCACTTCTGTTTCTAAAAATGAAATAAAAACGAAAAGTACGTTTTTATTTTTTTCGTTTATTATAAATATTTTAGCACAAATATTTTTTCTTTCTTAGTTTTAATGATACTATATAAAGGCTTATTTATTGTAAATTACATTGTAAATTATTTATTCATTTTGCTATCTACATATAATATATTCATATTTCTTGTTTCAGTTCTAAAGAATTTAATTATGATAAATTATTAAGGACAAATTTAATTATTTATATATTATGTATCTGTATACGTATATCATATTCAGATATAGAATATTGAGAAAAAAATGAGAATTTAAATTAGCTTATTGTTAAATGACTTTAACGGTCTAGCTGGATTTTAAGTGCTTGTATAATTATGTGTGAATTTGTATACTACGTAACTGATCCTTTAAATTGAGCGCCGAAATGTAGAATATATAAATATGAAATGTAGAATTATATACAATTATAAACATAACATTGTTTAATTGAGCATATTTTATAATTATAAATTGTAAAATATATTATTTTGTTTAGAATTCAGAAATAACGGATAAAGCATTTCACGAGAACTGGTATCAATTCAATTTGTCTGTACAACGTATATTCTTAATGATAATAGCTAGCAATAATATAGATATTAAACTGTCGTTATTTGAAAGATTCGATTTGTCTTTACCTTCATTCATGTCGGTAAGATATTTAATTAATATGTGCTATATAATCAGTAATTTAATGTTAGTCAGTGTTTTAAAAATAAAAGAGGTTGTTTGATATAACTCTCAAATATTTTTTTTAGGTTTTGAATCAATCATATTCTATAGCTCTTTTGATTTTAAGGATAAACTAAGGAATGGCGAAAGTAATAATATATGTTGCTAAAATATAGTAACATTATAAAAGTATAAAATTGTTTTACTTTTATTAAAATTTATGAATTTCACTTTATTAAAATATTTAATCATTTATCAAATAGAAATTAATAGATACATTTATTACTTGTAAATTGAAAAATTAATGTTTAAGTCTGATTATAGTTAAAAGTTGAATCATTATAGAATTTAGGATAAATAAAAATATGAAAAATTATTAAGGTACGTTTATTTAAAAAATTATTAATTTACAAGGTATTCTATATTTCATGTTAAAATATGCTAAAATAAAGTATTTTATATAAGTATGTTATAAGCTATTGATTTTTCAATGTTTTAACGTTAATCATTTATATGCAGAATAATTAAGGGAATTATGAAAAAAAATAAAATTGCATTTTAAGAAATGGCGATAACCTTTATATAACCTTTAAAAAATTATTTTAATTGGATTCCAAGATTAAAAATTGATATTTTTTGACAGTTTTCGGACCTTGCTGACGATAACTGTTAGGTGTAAGGTCAATATTACATGCGTATGTTTCTTGTCGTACGACAAATTTTGCAAGCCTGTCGATTGGCTATAGGACAAAGAAGTCCGACATCGTCTATCTTGCAGCCAATTAACACGCTTGAAAAATTCGTTGCCATACGACAAAAATGGACGCATGTAATATTGGCCTAAGGTGTACCGGCCATACGTGGCGCGCCGATCGGTAAAAGCGAGGCGAATAGAGGATGATGGCGCTCTAAGGAGTAGAACTAATTGACCACTTACGGTTGACAGTTAATTACCGATTAGGGTTAATCAAGTTGATGAAATTTTTTGTATATATGATACATATAAAAGTTTTGATATCAACAATTGGTGCCAAGTTAAATTCTGTAATTTCTTACTGTACAGTAAAGAACGTTTGCAGATGATCATCGTCTTCTCATACTTATTTTGGTTTTTATATTACTATTATAAAACAATGGGGGTGGTGATGGTTTCTTTATTCCAATCCAAGTTATAATGGCTTTATTCCCCTTCAAAAATTATTACATGAACATTATTACATACGAGTAAGTTACCGTCAGATACTGTGACTCTTCTGGACTTTTCTAGACAATATGGTAAAGATCAGCAACGAGCAATAAGATAATGACCACTTTATAGCCTAGTCATAATTACAAAGAATTTTACGTTGCTTTTAGCTTTGTGTTTAACAAAACATATATCTTAGGGAATCATACTAATTCTTTGTAAACTATTTTATTCCCCGTGACAATAGTATAAGTACAAGAAAATGCTTTCTAAATCATAATGTACCAAGTAATTTGTGAAATATAGGTAATAATTACTATAGAATATACTTGGACATTTTCGCGGGGAAAATCGTTACTTATCATCGCAAGACCATGATATATTCATGGAAGTCAACGAAAAGCAGAATTTCAAGAAGAATAATAAATTGCTGAAATTTTGTGAAAGCAGCTTTTAATACTGGTAGAAATGTCATACGTTGTCTTGTAGACGCAGGAACACTAGCAAATAAAGGTAAATACAAATGTGAAGGCACATTTTAATCTTATCCTTTACACTATTAATTATCTTTACGCTATTGATTTCATAAAGTGTGTATATATCCTTTTTCAATAATACTTACTATAATGGGTGATAAGTGTAGAGAAATATCATGCAAAACATTATTAAGTTAAGAACATCAAGATTTTGTCACGAATAGAGGAAGGTCATCGATACACACTGACATAACACTTTGTGTTTTTAGACAGTATTTCTTAAACAAATGCTAAACATAAAACTTTAGAAAAACTAAACCCCCTCTCTTTTTCTTTCACCTTCTTATAGCTCTTGTTGAGATCTTTTCAAAGCACCATAATTTTATTCACTTTAGGCCAGCTGTTTCGAAATTATTAAGTATTTTATGGTGAGATGTCGGCGACTGTAGACGAATCAAACAAGAAAACTGTTTATTTCTCTGCTGTAATGCTTGTATCTTTTACTTAGCAGGTCATAAGCTACAACATATGAGAATACCACTTGATTTGATCGGAGCCAATTTCATATAGGATTGGTGCGGGGTCCTTTGTCATTAATGTTTAAAATTAAATGCGTAATGTAAATTAAATTATAAATAAATAGAATTATCCCGTTAAACTTTCATTCGATTCATTCGTTGTAAATATTTTATTTTTCTTTGTTCTCTGTTCAAGAACAATACGCTAGGAAACATCAAAGGCATGGATTTCCAAAATGTGAATCCTCTGAATGTTCGATTAAACATGGTATCAGGTAACTTGTTACCAATGACCGCTGATAATTCGTCGTTTCCAATATTTTGGAAAATATACAGCATTTTGATATGGTTACTCGAAATACTTCAAACATGTGTGTTAATTCCTGGGTGTTTTTTTGTGCCGAAAGAGAAAGCTCTGAAAGATGGTGTAATCGGTATTGTGGTTGGCATGGAAGTTATTTGTACAATTATACGAATTTACTCATGTAGAGGACAAGTGCAACAGTTAATTAAAAAATTGAATGATGTTCTAACCGTAGAGGATGAGATAATGAGGAGTACAGTGATAGAAACTATAAAATCGATGGAGAGTCCTCTTAAATTTTACTGGTCGGCAGGTGTGATATCCACAATAGCATGGAGTAGTGAACCGTTTATGTTGGCCTTTCAAAGAAATTCCTTTTTTTATGTAGATTATAAGATGCCAGTTGTCTATGGCAAAGAGCCATTCACGACTAGTATGTTTGTATTTGGAAGTGTTATTGTGATGATGAGCGGCGTGTATATTTTTACAAAAAAAGTTGCTGCAGATAGTTATATAATAAATATGCTGCTGCTGATAACGGCACAATATAAATACATTGCATTAAAACTATCGATGATATTTCAAGATAAATTGCTTCAGAATGATCACAGTAAGTCTGACACAGATAAATGTAATCTCAATAGAGATGATTACGCAGAAAAAGAAATAAAAATTTTATGTCGGCATCATAATACAGTGATCCAGTAAGTTAGATTTTTAATTTTCGAAAAAAGTTACAAGTACCAAATCCTTTTAACTTGAATAGAAACTGCTTGTAATGTTCTATATTATTTGATTCGATATGACATTGACTTATGATATTCTCGATATCATCATTTACAATATAACTGCATGTTATTAAATTCTACATGTGAGGTATTTTAAAATATTTTATTGTAATACGTAACTTAAATTTATTGTTTTAATTAATCGAATAACAATATAGATTCTTAAGTTAAACTTTCCCTTTACACAGCCAATCACAAACGACCTCCGAGTAACCTTGACCTTGATTTGACCCTTCAGAAGGTCAAGGTCATTAACTTTTTCCGTTGCTCGTCATTCGTTAAAAAGTTATAAACAAAAAAGTTTCTCTGCTTTAAAAATAAAAATTCTTTGCTTTAAAATAGATTTCCTGTTTCAAAAACAAAAATTTTTCTGCTTTAAACTAGATTTCCCACTTCAAATACAAAAATTGTCTGCTTTAAAATAGGTTTCCAGCGAGAAAAGTTTTGTTTTTCTGTCAGTTGAAGGCAATGTTGAACATTGTAGAGGAATATTTTACTTCGCATGCACCTACCGACAGTAACTAATAAAAATATAATAAAAATATAAATGTATATTTCATACATATATAAATATATATACATAAATATATCTTTATTATATACTTATACATTTACTGTATATAATTATTTACTTATTTATGAATTCCTATTTTCCCAGAATATTTACATCAAGGAATTCTGATGCAATGTTAAAGTAATCTCTATTTCCAATGGTTATTCTTAATCTATATTAAATTATTTGTAGTACATATTGCTATTTTCTTTTCAGACAAATGACACAGAATTTATTCAAATTAAAACAACAAAATAATTACAGCTTTGTGTATGTAAAATATACAAATATTCGTTTTTCAAAGTAATAATTATTTTACTGTTTTAATTTTGTCTTACTGAATTTTGTCATTTAATTGCCTGACAAAAATAGCAAATATTACAAATAATTTTAACATAGATTTAAAATAATTATCGGAAATGGAGATTACTTTAATATGGTATCAGACAATTTCTTGGTTTAAATATATTTTTAAAATGTTTTTTTTTCTATTTTTAATTATAATATAGTCGAGACACAAACCCCTGTAAGCTATGCATTTTTATAGATCAGAGACGCCATATTGCTATTTAGTTATACTGGACTATTTTAGATGGCGCTAAAATCAACGACAATTTTTTCCAAGAGGGGTGTTGACACACCCTGTGGTCTACTTCCACAATCCCTTGTCCAGAGAAAATACTACTGATATATGTACCTTATGTTTAAAAATTGTGTACTATTCATAAAAATTGTTTTATTCATAACTTTTTAATGAATAACGAGCAATGGAAAAAATCAATGACCTCGACCTTCTTAAGGGTCAAGGTCAAAGTCACTCGGGAGTCATTTGGGGCTGGTTGAGTAAAGGCAAAGTTTTACCGATTCTTATTTTATCTTTTAATATATAGCATCTTATTATCATTATGTGATGTTTTTTAGAATAATGTTAATGTTAAGAAGGCTACTATCTTTAAACATCAGTTTAATATATGTAATAAGCGTTTTTCGATTCTGTTGCATTTCTATCATGATAAATTCAGTGAGTAACAATCTCTATTGCCAATTATTGTCGGAATATTTGATAAATTTAAAGGCACTATAATGTTATCAATGGGTGCGTTCAGCAGCACGTAACAGTTTTGCAACCGTTTTGTGATTGTCTGCTGAACGGTTCTAGATGCACTCACGTCTCAACATGTTTATTCAGCGGTCGCCATGATTTTACAGCAAAATAAGGTTGCGTTGCGCAGCAGAAGGTAACAGTTTTGCGTTTTATGATTGTTTGCTGAACGGTCCTAGATGCACTCAACGTCTCAACATGTTTATTCAGCCGTCGCTATGATTTCCAGCAAAATAAAAGTATGCTGAGTCACAAATGGCTGCAAAGGGATTGCATCTCTTTATCAAATAATTAATCTTCATAATATTGTGGGTTTTTCCCTGGTGCTGTGTTGTTTCGAGTCCTTGTGAAGTTTTGAGTGAAACATGAAAGAGATACAAAAATTGGCCTCCGGATTTCGCAACATGATTTGATATTTTTTGTAAAAAAAAATATATAGAATCCTGTAACACAATACTATGAAGAGTAGATATTTGATAAAGAGATACAATCGCTTTGCAGCCATACTTTGCCGCCATTCCTTGCAGACTTACTTTGCCGGAAATCATGACGACCGCTGAATAAACATGTTGAACCGTCATAATCAAGACGCCGTAATCGAGACGCAATAAATAAGAAACGACAATCATAAAACGTTTGCAAAACTGTTGAGCTGCAAAGGGATTGCATCTCTTTATCAAATAATTAATCTTCATAATATTGTGGGTTTTTCCCTGGTGCTGTGTTGTTTCGAGTCCTTGTGAAGTTTTGAGTGAAACATGAAAGAGATACAAAAATTGGCCTCCGGATTTCGCAACATGATTTGATATTTTTTGTAAAAAAAAATATATAGAATCCTGTAACACAATACTATGAAGAGTAGATATTTGATAAAGAGATACAATCGCTTTGCAGCCATACTTTGCCGCCATTCCTTGCAGACTTACTTTGCCGGAAATCATGACGACCGCTGAATAAACATGTTGAACCGTCATAATCAAGACGCCGTAATCGAGACGCAATAAATAAGAAACGACAATCATAAAACGTTTGCAAAACTGTTGCGTTCTGCTGAACGCACCCATTGCTTCAGATATGCCAAAGAGTTTGCGGTTTATTGTCATCCCGTGATTCATTGCTAATGCCAATATTTCATTAACCTTGCTGTTATCGTCATCTGCATCATGGTGGGGAGCGCACTGATACTCTATCAGTGTGCCCCTCGCCCTGATGAGAACGGCAAGATTCATGAAATGTTGGTATTAGCAATGGATCACAGCACAACGATAAACCGCAAACCGATAAACTCTTTGACACCTCTGAACAAAATACCCGTGAAAGCATTATCAACTCAAAAGTATTATCAATGTTATTATATTATTGCATTTTATCAGTCAGTATCTTACTGACATGTTTTTGGAAATCTTTAGATACCATCAGAAACTTTATGGGAAGTATGCTCGATTATTATGTATGGAATCAGTGGAGTAGTGCAGCTCTACATAACATGTTCTTGTATGCAACAGCTATTAGATGCGGTAGGTTTTGTTGCAATCTATATTTTTACATGTGTACATTACATACAAAGAAGGTGAAATGTTTATAATTAATAAAAATATATTATTATACATATCTTTTTCCATTTCCTAATTAAGAGTGTTAATATAACGGAGTATGCATTTCACGGAAAATGGTACCAATATGGAAAGAATGTGAAACGTACATTTATGTTTATGATAATGGCTAATAGTTTAGAAATTAAACTGTCAACATTTGAAAAATATAATCTATCTTTATCTTCATTTATGATGGTGAGTTTTAAATTTACTTTCCGCATAGAGTTGACGTACTTAGTATTCTTATTAATACTTTAGGACATTCTAAAGTATGTATTAGAAATTTTTAAATGAATATTTCAGATATTAAATCAATCATATTCGATTGCGCTTTTACTATTGAAAACTAATTGAAAGATGCGTTGTTTTGTGCAGATTTTACATACAGTAAATATAATTTTTATAATTTAAATAAAATATAAAGTTTAATATTATTTTGTGAAACTAACTTTTATTATATCTTAAAGTACGTTATTTTTGTTCCAGTAAAAATAATATTATCATGTGTCATAATATATTAAGCTTAGTAATTGAATAAAAATTTAAACAGTGCGCAAGTATTAAGATGAAATGTAGTATAAAATCTCACTGTAATACAAAATTGTGTAGAAATAAAGTTATATATAAAATATAAAAAACTATAAAAAAAAAGAAACATTTTTTGACAAGAATATCATAATTATTTCTGAGCAAATAATAGAAAGGACGTTTAATAATATATTTAAATTCAATATTTAATTTATATCCATTTATCTAAGAGCAATATCTGTACCAAATTAGATATAATGGTTATTTTGTAAATATGGTACAGAAGGCCAAGGATTGGTCAAAGTTAGATGTTTCGAATAATATAATATTCTTGGATTTATAATATTCATGAATTTAATTTATATTCTATAATTGTCATGATGGTAAAATCTCTTTCTTTTAATTTGTCTAATTATTTTTTGTTGAAAAATAAAGATTGAGGACAAACCTGAAGTATCAGTTGAATATGAGTATTCAATTCGTGGATAAGCCTCCTTTGAAATGTTTTAATATAATATCTCGTATTAAACCTCTCCTGAATTAATCTGGAAACTTAAGTCTACGAAGTTCGCGTTTAGATAGGATCAAGTTTCGATACCTTGCCATAGTTGACGAAGTACTATAAGATAATCGTCCCTTCAAAGTAATTAGAAGGAAGTTTATAGTCGTATGCATCTCGACAATAAACATAATGAGAAGGACGTACCACAATAAATTTTATATTATTGCGACCTTTAGTCATGTGTGAATTTCTACATTTGCCTGCAACAATGAAAGACTCTCTCTAGATCTTTATTCACGATATTATTGATGTTTGCTTTTGTCAACATGCTTATAATTGCGATTAAAGGTAGCAGAATGTCTTCTGCCTTTGTATGCTAACGTAAAATATACTACTGGTATCCGAGTAGAAAAGAAGTTATTGAAGGGAAATAATATGAATAGCTGGAGATCTACGATCGGTTAAGTGTGGCTTTTAAAACACGATAAAAGAGCAACGCGTAGGAAGTATCAGTCTGAATCGAAAAAGAGCTTTCGTGATGATCATAAAATAGAATAAATAGTTTTTATGTTGTACTTGTATATTTAAAATGCAATATGTAATGTAACATTAATGTAAGTAAACTATTCAGATATTCACGAATACTTAAAAGAAGTCCATTCTTAAATATTTATTACGAAGAGAAGAGTTATACCAAGGACATGGATTTTCAAAGCGTAAATCCCCTAAACGTTCGCTTAAACGCACTCTCGGGTAACTTGCTGCCCTTAAAGCCAGGTGATTCGCGATTTCCGATAACGTGGAAAATATATAGCGCCTTGGTATGGCTGATTGAAGTAATTCAAACAATCGCATTAATTCCTGGACTGATTCTGGTGCCACGGGAGAAGGCTTTAAAAGACGGTACAGTTCTCTGTGTGATTACCGTAGAAATGTTTTTTATGGCTGCGCGGATTCACTCACGCAGGCAGCTGGTGAATCAATTGATCCAAAAACTAAACGATATTTTGCGTTTCTCGGACGAGACTATGAAGAATGTTGTGACGATGACTCTACAGCCTATGGAGAATCCGCTTAAGTTTTACTGGCTGTCTGGCTGGTTGGGTGTTTTCATATGGGCTTGCTTACCGTTTCTGTATATTTTTAAAGAGGTTTCCTTCTTTTACGAGGATTATAGAATGCCGGCAGTCTTTTCCAAGCAACCCTTTTCGCTTGATGTCTTCCTATTGGGCAGCGTTCTCATACTGATCGGTAACATGTATGTTTTTGTAAAGAAAGTCGGAATGGATGTTTATATGATACATCTTGTGCTACTAATAACGGCGCAATATCGATACATCGCCATAAAACTCGCGGTAATATTTCGGGACGGAAATTCGCTAAGTAAATTCGATGAATCTCATCAGAAATACTGCTCTGGAATAGATCGCTGGGTAAAAAAAGAAATGATAGCATTATGTCGACATCACAGCAATATTGTTCAGTAAGTAATTAAAAAAATTTTACTAAAATTTGTTGCTAAGAAAAAATATATAAATGCGTCGATAATTGTTATTAAAGGAATCTTGAACCCAAGAAATGACATAAAATTTTTTTTTTATACTTTTTTATACTTTTTTATATACTTAAAATAAATTTTAAATATATAGAATATTATATATTTTATAATATCTTATATGTACGTGCATTTTATTTTAGCTTATCATCTATGTTAAAGAAATTATTGTCTTTGAACTTCAGTATGATCTATGTGAACAGTGTTCTAAGGTTTTGTTTTATTAGTATCATGCTGAGTACAGTGAGTAAGAAGTTAACATTAATTATTATATTTGGTATGCTCGCAAACGCTTCGTTCAGGAGATATTACTCATACAGCATCGAAAGTTTTCAGACATATTTTAACTGAAAAGTTGTCTGCAATATTTTTTAGACAGTTCTGGAATAGCAAAATGTCCGTAATTCTTAGATATGAAACCTTGTTAGAAGGTTGCTAAACAGTTACAAGTTTCCGCAATTCAAGCAGAACAAGTCATTCATATACAAAAGTTTTTCGCAATTAAAGTAGAACAAATCACGATAACATCATAATGACGATAAATTGAATCGAGATTGATCAAAAAATGACTTTTAATAAACATTTTGGAGCCATTTTAACGTTATGATGATTTTTTGTTCTATTCGGATGTTCTTCAATTTATTGCATACGATAGATTTTAGAAACATTTCTGTTGAAACATTTCATGTGACACACACATATTGCAGGATTTCTTATGTTGTAACATTTCATGTGACATATTGCAGAATTCTTTCAGAATTGTTGCACATGGAATGTGAAATATTGAAACATTTCTGAAAATTTTCAGAACAAACGGTGCTGTATGTGTGACTTCTGAAGTTACAGAATTGTAGAAATGACTAATGTCGAAATATGTCGAAATAAGATCTATCTTCTTTATTTTTCTGCAATAATCAGAATTTAATTATTAAATGTTTTGTTCAAAATGAAAATGTATGGTTATATTTTATTAGAAATAATGGGCGATATTTTAATTGAATCCCATTTTCTACCAGTTTGAATGCGAATGGATTTCTCGCATTTTTGAATAATGAATTTTATGATCTTTTGGAAAACATTCGTTTGAACATGAGAGTGAACTCCTGATTTCAATTAGATGGCTGTCCTGCTCGCTATGGCAGACGTCTTCAACAATGGCTTAAAATTCATTTTCCCAGAAGATGTATCGATCACGCTGAACTTGTGGTTTGGTTTCCGCGTTCAACGGATTTAATACCATTATATTTTTTTGTATGGGGTACTCTGAAGCAGAAAGTGTGCAGTATCTGTTAATGACCTTTAATATTAAAACGAAAAATTGTACAAGCGTGCGAAGAAATTACAGACGCACAATGTCATCATTGATAGATGCAATGCTTGTCTCCTAGTTGGAGGTCATCATTTTGAACAAAACGTTTAATAATCTTATTTTGATTATTGTAAAGCAATAAAGAGGATAGACCTTATTTGGACATTATTTCGACATTATTCATTCTTATAGTTCTGTAATTTCAGAAGTCAATATCTCTTAAACAGACCGTTTGCGAGCATACTTCTAGAGGAAAATTTTGTTTGTTTTGATGTCCTAAATTCATATTAAAAATTTGGCCATTTAACACGGTGTAGATATACAGAATGTCCCATTTTAACTTTGACACTGAAATATCTCGAAAATTGTAAAAGATACGGAAAAATGTTTCAGGCAAAAGTTGTAGAGTTTAATTATATTTCAAACAATATAATGTTTTGAAAAGCTTTTGAGGTAAGCTACAAGAATATGCAATGAAAAATGGGGGATTCCATTTAAAAAATTCAAAGTAATCTTGCTCTGACCTTGACAACGCCACCCAAGGTCAAACCAATGGTATCAACTTATGTCCTCCTCGAAGTTACAAAACTTTTGTCTGAAACATTTTTCGATTTAATGAAGTGTTTCTGAAATATTTGAGTGGATCCTATAAAATGGGACATTCTTTATGTGTATACAGGATATCTCACAACCACCGTACAATACTTTTATAGCATATTCTAGAGATAAAGTAGAGTAAATAATTCTAATACGTAAATATCGAATCTGCAATAGTTCTTGAATTGATCAAAGATAGTTTGTAATTCAAAAACTATTATACATATATCTTCAACATTTTCATATTAGAATTTTAATCTTAGAATGTTCCAAAGAATCCAGAAATAATAATAGAAGCTATAAAAGTAAAATAGTTTTCAACTTATAAGCAATTAAAATTAGTTTATATAATAATTGAAAAAATTATTGCAGCCTCAACATTTTCATTTCAGAATTTTTATTCTACATCATCTCTAAAATATCGCTATAAAAGTCTAAAATATACTGTGTGAAAGTATTGTACGGTAAATGTGAGATACCTTATATATATATGTATATATTTATATGTTTATAAATTTTATATTAAATAAGATATTTTTATATTTTCTCTGAGGTACCTTCAACAACTGTCCCAGAAGCTCTTTCGATCGTCATGTTCGCATGTGGCTCAATAGTTCAATTTTACATGTTGTGTTCTTGCGTTCAACAGTTACTAGACGCGGTAAGTTGTAATTTCATTAAAAAAGACCTTACAAAGATAAAAAAAAAATGTATACCAAATACATAAAACGCATCATTCAAGAAAGTTATTGTTAAATATGTAATCATTTAATTATTTATTATTATCATATGTTTAATTTTTAGAGTCAGCAAATGACAAATAAAGCATTTCACGAAAAGTGGTATCAATTTGGACCATATGTAAAACGTACATTTATGTTAATGATATTAGGTAATAATTTAGAATGCAAGCTTTCGACGTGCAACAAGTTTAATTTGTCTCTACCCTCATTTATGACAGTAAGAGTATTTTTTATATTTTTACAAGTAAAGATGTTATCGAACGTTATTTGTTTCAAATCTTTTCTGATGATCTTTTAGATCTTAAATCAATCGTATTCGATTGCTCTACTACTCTTACGAGTACATGAATAATAATGAAGAATATTTGTATAAATTACTTAAATGCAGCACTTTTTTTAAATCGAATCCTTATGTTCCAAATTAATGGTAATAAAATTTTGAATAATTTAATTAAAATTAGTAAAATTATGTTAGAAATATGTGCAATTATTATAAGATAATTTCATTAAAATATTATTAAAAGATAATCCTATATTAAAATGCGCCTGTTAAATCGATAGCCGAATTTATTGTCGCCCCTTTTCCGCGATGCGGATTGGTTGTCTAGAGCTCAATTGCAACGCGCGCGTAACTTCGTATCGTGAGCGGATTTGTGCAATATTTTAACTGTTTATCGATTTTTAGATTCTCTTATTTAGTTATTTTATAACTCTTATTAATGACAGTAATGATGTCATGGTATTGTTGTCGCCCAGGTTTTTTACCATGTATAAAACCTGCGTAGTGACAATGTAACGATATCATTACTATTGTTGTTAGAGTTACAGAAAGAGAGAGAGAGAGAGAGAGAGAGAGAGAATAAAGGCCTTATTAATTCAAATTGAAATTACTTACAGTTTAAGATTAAATAGATTAAATTTAGGGGAGAGTAGGATGATGGCGATCATTTAAGAAATTTTATTAATATTTTTATTTAAAATTGATTTTTTAATAAATTTGTTGCAGAGACATACACAGTACAGAATTATAGCTTTAAAGAAAACTATTAAAATAATTATTAGACGTATTAAATTTTTATTTATCGATGTAAAAGATATAGTAGTTTTGATCGGTATAACCTATCTATGAAGGGTTATGGCGATCAAACTACGAGTCATAGTAATCGGGATGAGATTATGAAAATTATGTTTGGGCATTTCAGTTGCAGATCATGACAATCATTTTTAATAAATCAATTATATGAAAAAGTTCGTATATTAAACTATTTTTTAATTAACAATATTAAGAACCTTTATTTTAGACCGCATATGTGAAAAACACAATCAATACTAGAAATTAAATGCCTATAATGGTCGAAGCTGAAAGCTCTTTAATGCTTAAATAATTCAATGTAAATTATATATATATTATATATGTACAGGGTGTTGCATCACCATACAGATCAGTATGACGGGTTGCCCATTCGTGCAGGCGCGCAAGATCGTTCACAATTGCGTAGAGTTCGACAATCAATAGCACACACACACACACACACGCACGCACGCACGCACGCACACATACCGCATATACGTATATGCACTAACCATAGTGGATTAGAACCGGCCTAGTATACCTACTTTATGTTATTTAATAAAATATACTTTATCAATTGAGATATCTCATTTTTTACATTTAGAATTGTGTACAACGGCTTTAATGTGCACTGAGTGCGCACAGGTTCTGCCAATGAAAAACGCTATAATATTCAAAAACGGAAAGATAAAAGGCATATACCACGATCGCAAGATGTTCTTAGTGAAGTTTATATTTAATTCCAACACACATAATCGGGTTACAAAAATATTAAACGTTTCGGCCTTAAATTAGGCCAGCTTCAGTATATAAAAGTTAAGTATACAATTTTTTAAAACACACACATGTACGACTAATCTAAATTAATTAATCTCCTAACATGTCTGAATATTACGCAAGAACGCTCATTAAATTTTTTATATGTTAGTCCAAGAGTTTCAAATATCCAAAGAATTTCGTCTCTTATGCCAATTTTTCCGATATTCCAAATGTATGTAATAAGTTGTTCATTGAACCCAAAATTTCCAGATTCTAATGATCGCAACATTTCTTGATTAATTCTTGATAAATTTGATGTTTAAAATTCGTGTTTCGAGTTATAACTTATAAAAATTAGTACCTGTGTTCCAGTCAACTTGTGAAGATTAATATCGAAAGTGGATGTCTTGTTGTAATAAAGAATTAGTTTAAATGTTCTGCCGAATTCTCAT